TCCGTCTCTCTCTCTCTCTCTCTCTCGATCTCTCTCTGTCTCTCCCTTTCCCTCTCTCTGAGCGAGACCTGGAGAGATAGACAGACAGACAGGCAGGCAGAAAAAGAGAAAAACTCACTCGCAAGTGTAAATCCCTGAATCCCTGAACTTCAGGTGGAGACCCACTGGCGTCTACAGGCAAAGGGTCTCACTTTCTCTCACGGTTTCTATGCCTGGGCTTGTGAAGCTGAGTTTTGGATTCAGGCCAGCATACTACAGCATATGATACTGTACCAAAGGGTATTTTAGTCATAGTATATTAGTCGTATATTCATAGGAGCTTAATAGTATGTTGTAGGATATTATGGCAGATCATAGTATATCTGTGGTATATGTTGGGCTAGGGTCACAGCCTCGAGTGGAGATGAAGCGGCTCGGGATGCTGATGACGAAGTCTTGCCTTTGCATCTTTGCTCTCAAGGCTGAGGTCACTACGTCCCGGCATTGCAACACAATAACGGTAGTGATAATGCTAGCAGCACGAATAGCGTAGCAATAACCATTCGTAATAACAGAAATGATAATACATGTAGCAGTAATAGCAAAGCGCCAATCGCCACACGTTCGGCACTCCTGCAACCCAAGGATTGACAAGTACGAATGGCTTCGGGTGAGAGTTGTGGTAGATATTGCCACACCACAATAGGGAGAATTCCCAGTGCAGATCGAGAATGATCGCGAGGTGAACCATTGTGCGCAGCGGTGGCTATCCTCTCAAGTACTCCCAGGTCCGTCCATTCTTCACTGCTAAGCTGACTTAGCTCTACGCACCGCGGCGATTCCACACTCGCACTTCGCGCCTGAAGCCTGACCTTCCGTCCCAAAACCGTCGAACCCGAAGCAACGAACCTGTGTCTTAGGCCCAGAGTCTAGCCTTCCAAGGCCCGAATCCCTAAATGCAAGGAACAGATACATGCAGTGCCAGCGGCGGATAGAAGATTCGGCCCTCTGCTGTTGATTGGGTCTCCTTGCCAGGCCATGTACTGTGGTTGTGATCATGGTGACATAGTGCTAGTATAGTTATAGCTATAAAACGATAACAACAATAAGAAGAAGAATGATAATGAGTATGCTGTACATTGCATTTGTTGCGTCACGAAAGGGGTGGTGCCGGCCAGTGCTGAATCTGAAAGCCGGTTCCTAAAGCCTTAAGCCTTAACCTTGGGAAATACATGCAGTGCCTCTGCACAGCGATCCGGCACAGAAGCCTCGGGAAGTGCCTCAGCAGAACATAGGAGGCGGCTGTAGTCATCGGACTACATGCAGGTGAGATTTCCTGAAATTCGGGGGCCCCCAGTACATGACCTTACAATACGGATCCTGCCAGTGAAGGAAACTCTCAAAACAGTAGCCAATACGGCCAACACGCCGACAGCTCAACACATGCTGCAGAGCACAAGGGGACGATGCAACGAAGCCAGAGTCCATTTTGGCTCAGAAAGACTATGACTACCAAAGGAGAGCTTCCTTTTCGGTGGTCCTGGAATCCAGGATCCTACTAGTCCCGTTTACAGTTGTTGTGGGGGGGGTCCTTTTTAACCGGAGGATCCTACAACTCCCGACTGTCATGGCTTGCAGCCCAGTCTCCCACAGATCCGCCTGCAGGGGGAGGGCGGTCTGGGCGTAGGTCCCGAAGTGCCAGGCGGGTGCTGAACCCGCAGGGCAAAAAGGCAGGAAGATAGGGAGTACATGCAATAGCAGAAGGACTCGGAGCAATAGTATGATACGACTGTTGCTGGCAAATAAGCAGCGACTGTGGTAGCAGTGTTGGTATGCATACTACCATGACAGAGAAAAAAGCGACAAGGAGAGGATGATGATGAAGAGGAGGAACAAGACGAAAAGCCATGATAATGTAATCAACCGCAGACCTAACGAAACCCTAAACCCTAACACAGACCAGGCCTTCTGAAGCCAGTCCGGTTCGCCGGGCAGTGTGCCGACACTCCAATTCCTTCCAAGTTGTTTCGGTTTTCAGAGGTGTGGGGCTTTGGGTTAACCCTGGAACCAGGGATTTCAAAGGAGAAAAGGGGAACATCGCAGAGCTCAGCATCATCCAGAAGGATCGCAAGCCGCGTTTTTTCTGCATCTGAATATGAATGCCTCAACCTCACGGCTTTGAGTTGAGAAGTAAAAATTCATGGCCACAGTGAAGCTTGTCATCCCCACTACATGCGGATAGTCTCGAAGTCTCTAAGCAAAGACCTTCCTTGCTTTACAGTCGTATCGCAGGACCATGAGCACAAGAGGGTGGCCTTAAATTTGTAGGGGCCTTAAATTATTATGATAATAGTTATGATGATAATAATAATACTAATAATGAATAAGAATAACAATAACAATAATAATAATAATGATAGTAATAGTATTTTGTGAAGCTCCGGCCGATGTCCTCGTGTCGGCCAGCGCCACGGGAAAGTCCTGTGCACCGAGCTCACGAGGTTACCAGCCTTTCGAAACCACTTCGGCTCTAGATACTCAAGGACGAAGCATGCGTTTGGAGGGTGCATGAAGGTATCGTATGGAAACAACGTTCGGAATCGTTTCAGGGATACTCGATGCGAGCTGGAGCGTTTAACTTATGGCTCGCCAGGCCATCGCCCAGCGCTCGAGGAGGGCAGCAACGGTCCTGTCTCCCAAGGTCCATCGCATAGACTGTCACAAAGTTGGCCTAAGAGTTCAAGCTGCGTCGGAAACTGGCCAGCGAGAACCCGACATTGCATCTTCTGATGGCACCTTTCATGCACCACATAAGCGGCCCTCCGGAGCCCCAAATCCTAAGCAGTCCTAAACCCTAAACCCTAAATCCTAAACCTTCCTAAACCCTGAACCCGAAACCCTGCCGAGGGACGCCGGAATAGCGCTGCCAGGCCGGATGGGCATTAGCCCACTGGGCCACAGGGCCTAATGTAGGTGACGAAGGCTCAGCATCGAAAGTGGGCTTACGGAGTTGCGGAGTTCTGGGCTTCAGGGAACAGGGTTTGTTTAGGGTTTTGGGTTTCAGGGTTTAGGGTTTAGGGTTTACGGGTTTACGGGTTCAGATTTTAGGGCTTAGGAGTGTGCGGGTGCAAACGACCGACCACGGAAGAGACTCGTACTTGCCAGCTCTGGTTGTTTGGTGCTAGGACCTTGCATCCTCACACCGGCCACACTTTCAAACAAACAGGATTCAAAACAGGGGTCTGCATCATGAGATTAGGAACAGGGTTTTGGGGTATATTACAGTTACAGTATTGCTACAATCTGGATCTCGCGGTTCAGTGTCGGATGAGGTGGGGCGAGGCTGCACAGCTGAGCGGCGCAGGTACCAAGCGTCCGCTTGCGCCAGAGCCGCCTTGCTGCACGGAAAACGGAAAACCAGGATCGCGCCAGGAGAGCTATGGTTAGGGCTTCGGGTTCCAAAGAGCTTGCAGTTTTCCATGGCACTTTACGACAATTCCGCTTTGCAAGAACCTAACCACCTCATCTCGAAGTTCGACGCCGCTCCCTCTCCAACCCCTAGTCTCTTCACGCCCAGACCTGCACTGCCTGACTGCAGCAATCTCCCAGCAACCGCCTCGTGCGAGTAGGAGTGGCTGTGGCGCAAACTCCAATACACCTGTCGCGCAGCTCCAAAACTCAAGCTGGATAAGGACCCCTCCATAACTTAAAGTATGTTGCTAAGTTCGGAATCGTACAGTCACTGGGGGTACCCTCGTCCGTTTTTCTTGCCAGTACCGTAGCCACGACTTGTGGGGCCTTGGTCACACACTGAGCGAGCCAGATGAAGTCCGCCACACGCCAGTCGTACGTCCTGCCCGGTTCAGGGTTAGCCTTGAGGGATGTAGAAGGTTCTTACTATAAGTTTGCTATAGGCGTTGCTGTAAGGTTGCTGAGTTATACGGGTTACTATGTCTAGGACTAGGATCATGTTGAGTTCGGGGGCTTAGGGCTTGGGGGCCCTCCCATAATGCGGGAGTGGGCAACGCGATACTCGCGGACATCCTGGTACTTGGCTGGAGCCGCGGCGTTCGTCGGTTAGATCGAATCCAAAACTTTTCTCGAAAATTGCCACCGAATTGCTGCTTCAGTGCGAAAACATGCTGACAGTTACCAGCATCACGACAATACACCCGCCATAGAAAACCATGCTGGCTGGGTCAGAGGAACTCCTGGGCGAATGGAGGTTTGTGTCTCATCGCGCTCGCATCCTCGCGTCAGCGCAGCACAGGCCATCACTTCCATGGGGCCATGCTCGAATGACTGGCTGTTGTCCTTCTTCAAGACAACCTCTCCATTCTTCAGCCCGAGCTCTGCTATGCATTCCGACAGCTGCAACGGAGTTCCTTGCGGAGTGTTGCTTGCAGGCACCTGCAACTGCTTCTGCAACCTTCCACACGCGATCGAGTCGCCAGATCACCGCAGTGTCAACCGAGTGCATGACGATGAATCATGCCCAAGAACTCGAAAAGACCAAAATTGAGTAGCCACCTCGCATCCAGCATTCGCACTTCTTGGAAGGGTTCGTCGGAGTCGTCAAGTGTAGCCGGTTATTTCGGGGTGATCGGGCGAAGTATTCTTGCCACTTTTCGAGGTTGCACCGTGTGCAAAGATTCGCCTGTCAATCGGCTGCTCGCGGATATGGCCGTGCAGCACCTTGGGATAGGATCCCAAGGCCAGGCTCTGACCCACAAGCTTCGCCTTGGAGTACTTCTCATGGCGAATGTGCGATTTCGACCCGGGAGCTTTGGCGTGGGGTCAGCACTTGACCTTCGTTGTCCTTCGTTTATTGAGTGAGCCCTCTCTCAAGCATCTGCCCACGACATGCGCCCTCGCCGCATCCGTGCACCGGATCTTCCTGCGGCTCAAGCATGTAGTCAGGCCTCGGCCTCGCAAATCTTCGGGGGCTGTTGGGATTCGGACGACTTTGCTGAAGTGCGTGGCAAAAGTCAGCGGTGGCATCATAGCGATATACCAACATGTCATGGCTGAACATGATGATTGGTTACGGCCGTCGGAAGAGAGGAACAAAGACAAGTTCGTCGTCTTCCTTCCTCCTCCGACGGCCGTAGAGTCGGGTACACAGGCTGGATGGGGAGCGGGAAAGCCTCCGTAATGCTCCAATTCTCGATCATCTCTTTGAGATGCCTCAAATCGTCATCAACTTCTTCTGGTGCTTCATGAAATGCCACCACAGGTTCATCAAGGATCTCACTCTTGGCCTCCGCGCGGCGATGCAACCTCCCACTTGTGGGATGCGTGGTGTGCTTCCGGCACCACTCAGAAGACTCTTTCAAGTCGGAACGGCGACCGCATGCTGGCTTTCTTGAATTCTGTGACGCTTGCATCTTCTAGCACTCTCTGCCGACAAGCGCAGAATACGTGACAGATCTGTGCTTCGCCGTTGGAAGCCCTGTGAAATCCGGCAAGGCACGACAACAAAGACAAGCCATGTTCGTAATCCAAGATTGATGCCGACATGAGCCAAAGCAATCCTATCCTGGAGCCATCGAAGACACAACGTGCTCCGGGTCTTGCTACAGAAAGCAGTGAGCTACCCTTCAGGTTTGTGGACCAGGCACCGTGGTAATTCACTGAGACGCGGCCTGAGGCTCGGCTGCCACTGCAGGAACTCGAGGAACTGGGACTCCATGGAGTACTGGTAACCTGGACCAGGCTGCTTCTCTTAGCAGCTCCAGGATGAGCCATGCAGAAGGCTGCTCCGGAAATCACGCATCGCACATGCTGGGTTGATCCCATGTGAACAAGCCACATGCTACATGGTCGAAGGCCTGTATCCCCATCGCATGGCACAGACCAACGGCTGACATTGAGTGGGACCTCCTGACACGGCGCGAGGAGATCATTGACTTGCATTGCACAGTGTTCGGGCCCACGACTAGAGCTTCTCGACTAAGGCTAGAAACAGGAGCCCCGCTCGAAGCATTTCCACACACATCGAGAATCCCGCTATGTGCCGACGGTTCTGTTGGAGTCTGCAGAAATGGGCCTGAGGCCTATGAACACTTGGGCTGCAGCTGCGTGTCCAGAATGAAGAATCGACGATCCAACACGACCTGCGCCCCAAACCCTTAACGCTGGCGGACCCTGGGACTCGACAGAGCATTGTGCGAAAGAAAACACCGAATAACAGAAAGGCTGAAAGAGGTTGACCTACAGACTTGTTGCTACTGCTCCTGAATAGCCCAATAAATCCCAGGATGGGTCACATTGAGCCCCTACTTGTGGGCTGATCCGATCTTGTGAGCTTCACATCGTCGTTCTACTATGAGAACTGCTAGACCTTTTTGAGCTTGGGGCTGGGTTTGGCGGGGCTTCCAGGTGCACTACGAAAACTAGCACGGAAAGTCATGTGGAAAGTCTAGGGCACTGGATTTAGCCGAACATCTGGCAATCATGCACATCAAGCCAACATGGAAGCCCTGCGCGAATTTGCTAGCAGTGCGGTCTGGGCCGCAACATTGGCCTTGTGCAATGGCAGCATCCACAGCCACTGACTATCTGAAACCTCTCTTGTCAGAAGAAACCTGAGACCCCCCTCCCGGCTTTCTACAAGGAACCTAGAGGAAGTGCAGTCTAAAGCAATCAGAAGCTCATGGTAAACTCTGAACCCCAAACCCTAAACCCTAAACCCGAAACCCCTAAACCCTAAACCCGAAATCGTGATGGCCACGAGGAGGATGGCAAAAGCGAAGCCACGCGAGCTGAGAGGCCTGAGCCTCGTGTGGAGGGACGAGCACCAGGAGGAGGGCCACGCCGCGCATGGCGCCATGGCGTCCGAGGGCATTGAGGTTTCGGGTTTAGGGGTTTAGGGGTGGAGGGTTTAGGGGTTTAGGGGCTTAGGGTTTAGGGTTTAGGGGTTTAGGAATTGGGGGGTAGGGTTCAGGGTTTAGGGGTGTGGGATAGGGTTATGAGTGGTTCTTATGGTGCTTCGTGCTGCTTCGGGGATGTCACCACCTGGTGGGTCTGATGCTTTTGGTAGCGGGTTGTTGTTCTGTTCAAACACTAAACATATTGAGGAAAAATATTATTCCACCTAAACATGTTGGGTAAAAAAAAATTTTCCCCAATATGTTCAAGACCCGTCTTATGGGGTCTTTACGTCTTGGGGATCGCCACAGGGCTTTGGTGATCTGACAAACGACACAGCTGCAAAGACGGCATGGGCGGTTTAGGCTTCAGGGTTTAGGGTTTAGGGTTCAGGGCACTCGAGTTGATGCAAACTTACCGAGAGGAGAGCTGCCTTAGACTCCGGAACCAACGAAAGGCCCCAGAGTTTTGGCAACACAATACAAAATAATGAAATACAATAGAACCTAATATAATATAAACCCTTTATGGACCAATAAAAAAACACAAACTGGCCTCAAGTTCGAACGGCCTTCTTCCCTTTGTGCTGGGTCCCCGTGCTGCGCGTTCGGATCTGGCGTTGCGGTGGCCGGAGCAGTGCTTGAAGAGGATGTCCCGAAATGCAGAGAAACCTCGTATGTAAGCAATTTTGCTTTCTTAACTACATAGTAAATATTGTGTACTATATGCTATAATAACATATGTTATGTTTTGCTGTGTTGTGTTGTGTTTCGCCTCGTTCTGCATAGTGACATTATAGCAAACCACATCATGTCATACATATCATGTCATATACAGCTAGATTATCTGGCTAGCTTTATTTTCATAGATAAGTTTACTTTGTTGTATGATAGGACATGCTAATATATGTTTCGTGAAATTACAACAAATACACCAATATAATGCAACGTGATACGATATAACCCAGCAATGTAATGTACAATACAATACAGCACAATGTAGTATAGCACAGTCGAGCCTCATAAACACTATGACATTATATAACATCGCACTTCAATATACCATATACCATACACTGAAGATAAGCAGAATCTTTGATGGCAAATAAATAATTATGCATGTACATATATACATGTATGTGTGTATATGTATGTATGTATGTATGTATGTATGTATGTATATATATATATATATGTATATGGTGCCCCTCTCGACTGACCCGGCTGCTATCGGCACTCTGCAAGATCCGAGGATCACACGCACAAGACCTCGGCAACTCCTCGCCAGAGCATGATTGCAAGTAGAGGAACATGATATCGGGGACCTGAAAACTGTGAATAGTAATCCCTAGGGTTCCTTTACATCACTGTGGTATAGTATACGCATAAGCAGAGTCTGAAGCAGTAGAGGGACGGTTGAGGAGTAGAGTAGGAAAGCGGCCTAAAGAGATCGCAAAGGGCATCAGGGTATGACCACAATCCATTCCACTCCACGAAGGCTGCCAAGTCCTCGGGTATCCAGTCTGGGAAACTCCTTCAAGATGTTCCGAATGGCCTGCAAAGGACAGATGTGAGTTTCAGCCACAAGAAAAAACCCTCGACTTGTAGCACCCTGTTCTGAGGTCACCAACAAGGGGAAATTTTTCAGACCCCCAGGTCGTGTCGATAGCCTCGCAAGAGCCCACGTGTACCCGTTTCCAAAGAGTCTACAAACGAGCGGTTCATGGATCAGAAACACACACCCACGCTTTTCGCTTTAGAGTTCACTGGCATAGAAGTGAGGGTTTGCGGTCCTTCTTCTGCCATACTCTCAGGGGACATGCTGCAGAGCTGGAGTGTAGGAGGCTCAGGAGGCAGGTCTCAATGGCCATCTGTTCGCTACACTCTGGATCTAAAACTACCTGAGACTCCAACACCCCGATTTATTATACATATATATATATAAATATGTATCTATATACGTGTGTGTATGTGTATATATATATACATTTATATGTAAATATATATATATATACATTTATATATATATATACATATATATATATATACACGTACATATAAACATATGTATGTATACATACATATATATATATGTGTGTGTGTCTAAATATGATGAGCATAATAATACTAACGATAATAACAACAATAATAATAATGACAATTAACAATAACAACAACAATAATAATAATAGAAATAATGATAATAATAGTAATAATCATAATAATTATTATTATAACAGTAATAATAATAACAATAGTAATAATACTAATAATAATAACACACACTATATACTATGTAAGCATATGTATACATACCCTCTCTATAAAAAAACATGTGTGTGTATATATATATATGTATGTATATACACATTATATGCAGGTATGTACGTATAATGTACAAATGTACCCCTGGGTCCAGGATCCTTTTAGGGGGGTTCCGCAACCCTAGAGGTTTCAGGGGTAACCCTGGATCTTCTTAGGGTCTAGGAATTAGGGGTTTAGGGGTTTAGGGTATTTGGATTTAGGGTTTAGGGTTATGGCCTGGGGTTTAGGGGTTGGGGGTTTCGGGATGTAGGCTATTTGGGTTTAGGGTTAAGGGGTTTAGGGTTTAGGGGTTTCGGGAGTTAGGGTTTACGGTAGAGGGATACACAGACATGAGATCGCGCCTGCAAACTAAGGTTGCCCCCAGTCTGCCCGATCTCCTTGGCGTCCCAGGCTTAAGCTTTAGCAGGCTTTCCAGTTTGCTGAAGCCTATTGCTCAGGGACCTCAAAAGAAGCGGCTGCGGAGGTGTATCCGAGAACCGCCATTTGGGGGAGGGGCGGAGGTTGCAATGAGAGTACTCGTCACCAGTAGTTGAAGCTTTCATACTATATACATCTGACAAACTGCACTGCTGCCGCTGCCGCTGCAATTTTGCTGCTGTGCTTGGAGCTGCTGCTGCCGTTGGTGCTCGTGTTGGTATTGCTGCTGCTTACTAGTGGTTTTCCTTACTATTACTCAATCTTACATGTTTCGGCTGCATGGCATTGCCTGAGTCGTGGTGCCCTCCGAGTTCCCACTGGCCCAAACTCAACCACCAAAGAACTATTGAAGCACGAAGTCAAAGCCCAGAACCCTGAACTCTCGGTCTCATGCAACAGGAAAATGGGTTCAGATCTGAGTCCAAGACTTCGATAAGATCGCAGGCCCTCACTCCATCTTGGTAGCCTCCAGGCTGCCACTGCCACGGAAAACCAAAGCAAGCAGAGGTCAGCGAGGCATAGAACCGCACCACCAAAAAAGAGAGAGCCAAGCAAGGGCCGAAAAAGAACTCTCATGCTGCGGGAGGCTTACCCATCTAAACTGGCTCGAGGATCGTGCATTATCGAGCAACGAGGTTTCAAAGACACGGCACTGGCAGCGTGTCTTGGGAAAGAAGTTCTAGTCTCCCGACTTTTGCGCTGGTGATAGGGCACTGGTAGAGGAGGAGGATCATGAGGAATTTGGGTGAACCAAGGAGCAGCGACTGGCAGAGCTT